ATATATTCTTAGTTCCATCAATCTTCTAACGAGTGTCTTTGGCCCCAAGTGTTAGGGGCTTGATTATTACATATTCCAAAGTCTCTTCAGTTCTCGGGCAAGGTCCAATTAATTGTCAGATTTAAAAAGAAAAACGTTTCTTCTCTTGTGGTCTGCTGCGATTTATTTGAGAGATCTTCCCTTTTTCAAGACTAAGTGTAGTTTCCTGCTTTTAAAACATTTGTTTTCATCTCAAAATTCCAAGTCATTGTTGCTGTTGTTTTTGTTATTATTATTATTATTATTATTATTATTATTATTATTATCTTTTTCCACACGATTTTAAGCTTTCAACCGGAGATTTCGCATTATGCCTTTTTTCCATCAATTCGTACAACCTCAAAAAGATAGCACTTTTCACAGAATATCTGCAGTGCCGAGCAACGCAGTCTTCTGAAGCAACAGGATACTCGGCTTTATTTCGATTTTCTTAATGTGGGACTTTAAGTTTGGTGGTATAGAACCCAATTCCCCAATTATTACTAGTATTTGCTCTTTCAGTGTTCACACCAGTAGTAACTAGTGACTTACATTGAAGATCAAGTGCAGCAAGTCTCCTCTATGCTCCAGCACTTTCCTCAGTATCTTAGATGTTTTCAATAATGCTGTCTTTTAGATGGTTCCAAATCTTATTCTAATTTCTAGTTCCTGCAATCTTTTTATTTTTTTCACAGGCACTTCGAGGCCGTTCCCAGTTTTTCGATAACCACTGGCACGACTGTCACGTTCATGTTCTACAACTTCCTCATTTCTCTGGCAAGGTCGAGATAGAGTTTTTTTTTTTTTTCAGTTTCTTTCGGATCTAATCTGTGGCCCGCCGGAACAGCTAAAAACCACCATTATTATTATTATTATTGTTATTATTATTATTATCATTATTATTATTATTATTATTGTTATTATTATTATTATTATTTCTCAATAACATTTGAGAGAATTTCTGGCAACTTGCATATTTTTTTCTGGAACAAATGCCAAAATCTAAAAATTTAAAAGAAAAATAAAGCAAAATTGGTTGCCATGTGACACACTTCGGTGATCATAATTTGTCAACAAGAGTGAATGAATTGGGCGCCTCGTCATCGGGTAATAGTTAACAAACTAGTCTTGTTGACTATTGAATAGTGAGTTCGATTCTCACTGGTTACCCTATATGTGTGGCCTTGTGCCAAACTAAGCTAAGCTTAGTAAATAACAAGAGTGAATGAATTTTTTTAAAAAATGAATGATTTGAGAAACCGGAAGTAAACTTATATGTTTGTATTGTAGACCTTCGAAATAAAGAGATAAGCTTCCAAGAATATTATGGCTGATATTGAAACGAATGTCTTTGGCTTTGTGATTCAATCAATGCGAATTGCTTTTACGAATTACATTTTTTAAAGAAAGTAAATTAAAACGTATAAATGTTTGTTTGTTTTTTTCTGGTACGATTTTATAATGTTATTCAATCCCCAGTGAGATCGTTTTTCAATCGAAAGTTTCATTTTCAGTTTGTTTATTTCGTTGTTTTTTTTTTTTTTTTTTTTTTTATCATTTTACCCCAAGCAAGGCGGAAATGTCACTAATACGCAGATGGTTACAGTGAGTGAAAATGAGAGAAAAAAAAAACGAATACAGGGCGGATTGATATAAGGATAAAATATGAACGGGATTCAAGAAGACAAAAGATGGCGATTGACGTTTTTATCAGGGAAGCAAGTCAATGAAAGTGAGTTACACGGGCGGGAAGTGCGAGAAAAGAAACTGGTGGAGTAAAAGTGCATTTAGCTATTCCAATCGTAAACGGGTGGAACCTAGATACAAATCTAGTGGCATGCTTAAATTCGCGCAGTCAGTAGACCAGGGGAAAAAAGATCGTCTGTACAGTTACCATAAAAATATTTGTTGAAAAAACAGAGGGATATTGGAAGCTACTGTTCTGGATTACATTGGGACGCAACAAAAGTCTGCAGCGTTTGTTTTTGTTTCTAGTGAATTCCAATACTTAGATGCTTGTAAATAGGATTATTCAACTGAATGTGTGCTGTCTTGTTTCAACGACTAAATGCCTACTGGAACATTCTCAACTTTCCACAGAAATATCACCACTTCTGAACCTAGCAAATAACTTACGAACAGCACTTTCAGATATGACACGATCTGTATAAACGGCACACATCACTTTTGCTTTCTATAAAGCGATGTTCCTTTGCAGAAATAAAAATGCATCAAATGACGAAAATGATTCTCATTTTCCTCTATTCTAACTTTCAATTTAAAAATATCTAAAATTCCCAATCCAGAAACAAATCGTCCAGAAGAGACGCGTTGAAATTTCATATTGATTGATTGATTGTTTTCGATGGTTTATCAACCCATTGCAGGTTATATAAAGCCAAAAAATATTTTTAGATTGGAAAACCTTCTTTTTTTTTTTTTTTTTTAAGATAATAATAGTTGAGTAATACAAGTCTTGCTAATTCAATCCCCGTCACACGCACACTTTGTTGTAATGGATAAGTTGCTACCGTAGGTCAGAATCCCCGGGACCAGGCTCGCCTCGTGTTGTGCTGTGAACGATGCGACGCATTTCGTCCCGAAGTACGGAAACACAGCTGATTTGATTTCTTTTGATTGATTCGTTTTCTACGGCTTATCAACCCTTTGCAGGTTATTTAAAGCCAGAAAATGTTTTTAGATTGTAAGAATTTTATTGAGATAAAATCTTACAAATTGACTTTTTTTTTTTATTGATAAAGTCTTACTAATTAACTCACAGTTGGTGGGATGGATTCATACCTTTCCCATGGTATTTGCGCGTAAGTGGATTTAAAGAACCCAACTGGAATTGGAACACGACTCTCCACAATCATCCATACATCAACCGCACATCCAAGCTTACGTTTCTTGGTATTCACAAGCGGCCATCCATCTATGTGCAGTAGTAGTATTATTAGTAGTAGTAGCAGTAACGTTTTCATATTAGGATTACTATTAGAAGATGTCCTCTACTTAAGAATATTTCCGGATATTTACAAGCGGTCACCCTTCTATGTGCAGTGGCAGTAGTAGTAGTAGTAGTAGTAGTAGTAGCATCAGCAGTAGAAGTAGTAGTAGCAGCAGTAGTAGCAGTAATAGTATCGTTTTCATATTAGGATTACTATTAGAAGATGTCCTCTACTTAAGAATATTTCCGGATATTTACAAGCGGTCACCCATCTATGTGCAGTGGCAGCAGTAGTAGTAGTAGTAGTAGCATCAGCAGTAGCAGTAGTAGTAGCAGCAGTAGTAGCAGTAATAGTATCGTTTTCATATTAGGATTACTATTAGAAGATGTCCTCTACTTAAGAATATTTCCGGATATTTACAAGCGGTCACCCTTCTATGTGCAGTGGCAGTAGTAGTAGTAGTAGTAGTAGTAGCATCAGCAGTAGCAGTAGTAGTAGCAGCAGTAGTAGCAGTAATAGTATCGTTTTCATATTAGGATTACTATTAGAAAATGTCCTCTACTTAAGAATATTTCCAGATATTTACAAGCGGTCACCCATCTATGTGCAGTGGCAGCAGTAGTAGTAGTAGTAGTAGCATCAGCAGTAGAAGTAGTAGTAGCAGCAGTAGTAGCAGTAGTAGTATCGTTTTCATATTAGGATTACTATTAGAAGATGTCCTCTACTTAAGAATATTTCCTGATATTTACAAGCGGTCACCCAGCTATGTGCATTAGTAGTAGTAGTAGTAACGTTTTCATATTTGGATTACTATTACAAGATATCTTCTACTTAAGAATATTCAAATTTTGAATTTTCGAAGATACAAGAAAGCTTGCCTGTAAACTGAAAATTTGAACACAATGCCGGCTCGGAAATTCAACGTCTACATCAGCATATGGCATAGCTAAAGAGTCTTCAGCGTCATTTTGTAAAGAATGTTGTTCTCTTGACGATGTTATTCATGAATCATCTTTGGCATTCAAAATACTTATAAAGCAGACATTCAAATGATCTTTATTAATGAATTTCCATCTTGTGATATAAAAGCAATTATCAGAACCGATTCTGTTGAGAATTGAGTTTTTGATACTAGTTATCTCCCCTTGTACATATTTAAAAAAAAAAGTCATGCCCGTTGTTCCTAAGCTGGACATTCCATTATGTTCATTTGAACTGAATTTTCTTTTTAACAGGAAGGGTTTAGAAACGCGATATTCACTTCTTTTTTTTTTTTTTTTTTTTCGTTATAATCTGCCAGCCGCAATGATGGCGAAAGCATTACCTCGTACCATCACCATTGAGACACGCTGCAAGAGCCACTCCGTTTCGCGAGGTTCGTCCCTTAATCGAGATGTAATCCCGCCAACCCTCCGAAGGAACGCCATCGAACAAGGGCTCATAACCCCAGAAGTCCCCACTGCCACGGGAGTAAAAATAAATGTGTCAGCAAGAGAAGAATATTTGACTATTTTTTAATCTTCGCTTCCCGAGCGACAGAACCCGGCTCAACCGCGGACCTTACCAAATTATCTGTCGAAAATGTATCGGCACAGGTCGCATCTCAAACCAAAGACTTTCCCCCACATTTTTAAAAGAGAAAATGGTAATGCCATCCGGCCACTTTCCATCAAACATTTAAGTTTTGACTTCATTTTCTTTAAAAAAAAAGACTTTCTTTATTTAAATATTCGATATCTCTTTTATGTCCTGATATTGCTTCTTTTTACATGCATAAGATACTATGCTTTAAATTTTATAACTAGAAGTCTTAAATCTCCGGCCTTGTCGGTGGGACCCAGAATATGCCGATTGCAACCCCTGCAGAAGAATAAGACTCCCTCCCACTAACAAAAGGGAGCACCACTCGACAAACATTTAACTATAGGCTCAATTATAAACCCGACCAAGGATACCTATCTTCTTCTTCTTAAACCGCGGTTTGACACCCCCCGTATTGTTCCTTGGAAGGAGATAACACCACGTATCATGATGGAACCCCTTCCATTCTTCTTCTTCTTCTTCTTCTTCTTCTTCAAATTCTTCTTCAAATTCTTCTTCAAATTCTTTTTCTTCAAATTCTTCTTCTTCAAATTTTTCTTCAAATTTTCCTCCTCTTCTTCAAATTCTTCAAATTCTTCTTCAAATTCTTCTTCAAATTCTTCTTCAAATTCTTCAAATTCTTCTTCTTCAAATTCTTCTTCTTCTTCTTCTCTCGTCCTTTCTTGTCAGAGTCAATCATGGCTCTCCAACACCTTCTATCTGGTACGGATCTGAATGTTTTTTCTCTCTTTACTACCCCCCCCCGTTCCAATATCCGTTCGTCAGGTAAGTGGTTCGCTGATTTCGCTTATCTCAATATGTCTTGTGAGGGTTGTTTTCCAAGTCCTCCTTCCTCATTATGTGTCCAAGGAATTCAACCTCTCATTTCCTGATTCTTAGTAGAAATGTTCTTTCTGTTGCCATTTTATTTAAGATTTCTTTGTTGCTTACTCGCTCCGTCCCTGGAATTTTCAGTATCCATATTTCTTATGAGTCTAATGTTCTCCTCATCCGTAGGGAAATTGTCCAGCATTCATTGCCATACAAGAGGATGGATATCACATGGCAATACAGTACTCATTTCTTTTCTTGCTTAACTTTTGGAATGCTTCTTTTGCTTGTCCAATGCGTGTTCGGATATCAGTGTTGCATTTTCCATCCTCTGTTAAAACGCTTCCCTGATACTTGAACTTCAACACCTACTTGATGGTGACATCTCCAATTCGTAACCCGTATCTTGAGGCTTTTTTTTCTCTTGTTGATGACTATAATTTCGGCCATCTTGCATTTGATGGTTACTCGTTTTTTCTCACTTTCTTCTATCACCCTGTCTAGGAGGTCTTGTAGTTTTCTTTTTGAGTTGTCCATCTTATATTAATAAGATATGGTATTTGTAGTTTAAAGTACTATTTTTTAATCCGAACATTAAACAGCTGAATAAAGACTGATATGTGATAAAATCAATCAACTAAAATATTGCGTCGGAACAAATGTTCATACCATTTTTTTAAGTGAACTTCAAAGCAATGTTTTGATAATTGTACGGAGATTTATTCAGTTATATAAGTGCTATTTTGTTCGATTATCTTTGACCATCTTCGAGGCAGATTTATAAATCCTCCCAGATCTTATCATCGCTGTGGGTGATTAACTATTCTAAGTGGTTTTTACAGGCCTCCAAGGAACTGAAGTTCTTGCCATTAAGAAAATTTTGTAGAGGACGAAATACGTGGTAATCCGAAGGTGCAATTCTTGGCGATACATACCTTCTTTGGAGTTCAAAATGAAACTATTGAAATTTATAGGAAAAATAATGAGGAAAGAGGTTTTGGAGAATTTGACACTCACAGAACATATTGACGGCCAGGAGGACGGAGGAAAGCAGCGAAAATTCTACCTAACGAACTTGTTTCAATGGTTGATAGAACAGGAACTAGAATGGATAGCAAAAAGACAAAAATTATCCAGAGCTAAAAAAGAAAGTTATGGAGAACCATGATGGCACACGCCCTGAAGGGAGAAGGCACATAGAAGAAGAAGAAGAAGAAGAAGAAGAAGAAGAAGAAGAAGAAGAATGGAAGGGGTTCCATCATGATACGTGGTGTTATCTCCTTCCAAGGAACAATACGGGGGGTGTCAAACCGCGGTTTAAATTGGAATGTTGTAGAGAACATGATTATTGAATGAAGGCCCTCGCTTGTGTGGAAATGACTGGATCTTTCAGCAGAACAACGCTGTAATCCATAATGCCTTCAGGAATTTTTTTTACTGGCGATTAACGTGATTCTTTTGGACCATCCAGTGTATTCACCCGACCTGAACCCCATTGAAAATGTTTGGGGTTAGAGATGATAATGGACGTTTATAGAAATGGACGTCAATTCCAAACAGTGCATGATCTTCGTGAAGCGATCTTCACTCGGAATAACATTCCAGTCAGCCTTCTACACATCCTTATCTCAACTATGCCAAAGCGAATTTTTGAAGTTGTTCACAATGACGGTGGTACAACTCACTACTGAAAAGTCTTGTTGGGTATTTCCTACTCTATTTTGAACTTCTTTTAGGTATGGTCTTAAACTTTTAACCAGCTAGTATTTCGCCTAATTTTAAATGCTAAAAAACTTATTTTTTATTTTTCCTTATATTTTCATTTTTTTGAAGCTCTACTGAAATAAATGCAACAACACGAAAAGTATATTTTTCTTTATTTTCGCCAAGAGTGTGCACATACTCACGCGCACACACACACCCATACACACACACACACACACACACATATATATATATATTATAATTGGGACTATAGACAAAAATTGCTTTATGTTCATACTTGAGATTATAGTTAACTATTTATAGAGGGTTCGAAAAAATTCGTGACATTTTTTTCAATATTTGGCTTTTTGAAAATCTATAATTTATAGATAGATAGATAGATAGATAGATAGATAGATAGATTTCAGTCACGTGTTAGATGAAATTCGATTTTCAAAAGCCAAATATTGAAAAATGTCACGAATTTTTCGAACCCCCTATAAATAGTTACCTATAGTCTCAAGTGTAAACATAAAGAGATCTTTGCCTATAGTCTTAATTATAATAAGAAAAAACAAACCTCAGCATTAATAAACGAAAAAGGGTTGCTATGTCGTAAAATAATGAACCAAACTATGTAATCGCCTTTACCTATTCAGTAAGCAGTGGCAATGTAAATTATTCAAACTACAAAAGCAGTAAAGGAATGGTGAGACGTAAGAACACGTTAGAAGCAAATAAATCAACAGGCTCTATTGGTTAGAAAAGACACCAATGAAGTATTTTCAAGATATTTATAACAGAAATGTTCATATCGACCGAAAACAGGAATAAAGTACAGTAACATTAAAAATATTTGTCGTATTTCTAAATATTTGGATTTACAAACTCGAGGAATCTATCCTATTTGCCAGTGATTTAGTTTCTACAGTAATATTTCATGTTGTCCAAACGTAGTGTTTTGTAGTTGCCGCCGGAGATTAAGGAAATACACACAGATACTCAACTGCCATAGACTCCCTGGGGAGTATGGAGTCACAGCTCTCAAACCCCATAGACTCCTTGAAGTGCATGGGGCCACAGCTCTCAAATACCGTAGACTCCCTGAGGAGTATGGTGCCACAGTTCTCAACTCTCGTAGACTCCCTGGGGAGTATAGGCAACAGCTCTCAAGTCGTGTAGACTCCCGGAGGAGTATGGGGGTCACAGCTCTCAAATCCCATAAGAAGTATGGGGCTATAGCTCCCAAATCCCGTAGGCTTCTTTAAGAGCATGGGGTCACAGCTCTCAAATCCCATAGCCTCAATAAGAAGTATGGGGCTATAGCTCCCAAATCCCGTAGGTCTCTTTAAGAGCATGGGGGGGCACTGCTCTCCAATCCTGAAGACTCCCTGAGGAGTATGGTGGCCATAGACATTACTACTGCGGTTTCGATAGCAACTAGTATTTTTTATGAGATGGACTTGTTAGCGCTATGCCCGACCAATTTCGAATTCAGAGTTGTCCTCCTCCTAGACTGGTTACCATCTCCAGCTAAAGAGCTCAATCGGTTCTACTATTTAATCCATATCTAAAGGGAGTCGAAGAAATGAATCCATACCTTTCCCAAGGGCATTTGCGCGTAAGTGAATGCAATGAACACGACTCGAGTTCGAACTCGATACTCCGATTTCTCATTCAGAGTTGATATATACATCAGTTGCACATAAGGAAAGTTAAGTCTCTTCAACTGCCCAGAATCTTGTTAAGGATTTTTGCCAACCCCAGCACTGTATTGATTTAATCATAAAAATAATTTACTGATTTCTAATGCTAGTTTAAACCGTTGCCCTCGATTCTGTCCCCATGGGCGTGTATGTAGCAGTCTCAAAAAAGGGTACTGCTCACAGAAAGTAGCTTCCAAAGTCCGTACTACATTCCGTCTACATGCACTGTTCAAATTTGCTTCCTTCTGTATGTACGTTTTTCTATTATTTGTTCATACTAGAGTGTTGACTTTCATATGACTTATCATTTTTTTTAATTGAAAGGATACATTTGCCCGTGTTGATATTGGGTTTTTTTCGGTTTTAGTATTACTACGGTTTAGCTGACCCATGAGGCGCTCAAAGCAAACCTTCGTCGCATATTGGCAAAGAAAGTTAAAATAGTAGCGTAACTTATTTTGGACGCCACAAAGCAAAGGAAACTGGTTTTATACGTTGAGAATTTTCGATTATTATTATTACGAGTTTATACCCATAAATGAGTGTATAAAAGCCGTGCAGTGAAAGTCTTTACTAAGAAAAACATTGTTATGTTGATTTATATTAAACTGTTGATGAAAAATTCTTTGGGTCACCGTTTGAATAAAAAAAAACGAGAGAAAAGTTTGCTGCATGTTCAAATAAAATGATATTTATTTAAACATAGGATACACACATTTTAACTCTAATTACTTACCATGAAATGAAAGTTAGAAAGTGCCTCTCTTTGACAATAAGGAAATGAACATGAATAGTTTTTTCAGTGAAGAAGAGAGAAAGTGGAGTTGGGAGGCAAAATCGAAGGACGTCCGCTGTTGCTTTTATGAGAAAGACAAGACGACGAGGTTGACTCGTGTCTCTTTACTGCTGTCAGTCCTTGTGTCGAGTTGAATTAATCTTTGGTCTTTATGGTCTTCTGTAGGCTCCAGAGGCCCGTATTTATTTACTGGCGGGAGCTGATTCTATTGGCTATTTATTTTTATTAAATTGAAAATTTGTAGTATGTTTGAAACCCGGAAGGCTGCGTGGAGCCCTTGCGCATTGTGTTTAATTTTGTCATTTGCTCTTTTGATTTGATGTTGTTCACTTCCGCCTACTCTACAAACCATTATTATTATTGTTGTTTTATTTCCTTTTGGTTTCTGGTTTATATTCATTTCTTTCCGGGTCCCGACCAGAGACCTAAGTTCAGAAATGGCATCATGATATTTTCCACTGAACAGTTTTGAAAAAGAATTGCACATATTTTACATAAATAAAGCGCTTCGTAAGGTGTGGGCAGTACTTGTGCGTACAATTTTTTGTATTTTTTTTAAAGCATGGACTTCCAGGAATCCCTTCAATGAGCTTATGGGAATCTTTTCCAACCAATCCGAGGACTCCGACTACAACTGGAATTGTTGATCTCCTCATGCGCCATATTTATCATCATTATTATTATTATTATTATTATTATTATTATTATTATTATTCCTTTTCTTCATTGTACATTGCTTCTTCTTCTTCTTCTTCTTCTTCTTCTTCTTCTTCTTCTTCTTTTTCCTTTGGTTTCTGATGTATACTCATTTCTTTCCGGGTCGCTTCCAGAGACCTATGTTCAGAAATGGCATCATGACATTTTTTTCCACCGAGCAAGTTTTAAAAAAATCTCACATATTCTACATAGATAAAGCCCTTCGTAAGGTATGGGTTGTACTTATGAGTACATTTTTTTTATATTTCTTTGAGGCATGGGCTACAAGGGATACCTTCAACGACTCTATTGGAATCTTTTTCAATCAATCCGAGGGCTCCAACTACAACTGGAATTGTTAATGTCCTCATGCGCCACATTTTTGAGATTTCCCTTTCAAGGTCCTTGTATATTGATAGATTTTTGAAGATCTTCAACGATACATTGCAGTCTGCAGGGACTTTCATGTCAATAAAGAAGCACATTTTGTCTTTTCGGTCTCTAATCACAATGTCAGGGCGATTAGCTTTGATTGTTCTGTCTGTGTGCATTGTAAAGTCCCATATCATTATTATTATTATTATTATTATTTAAAAATTCATTTTTAGCCTGCATTTGTTTTGTCATCACATGACGGGTGATAACCAATGAGGAATGGCGAAGAATGTGATTTTTTTTATTGTTTCCACTTTACAAAACACAACTATTAACAAAAAAGAAAGCAAAATCTTAAATGATTCTTGTTAGAACATTTTGTTGGATTTCCTGAAGAGATAGTTGCACCAAGGATTTTGTTGATTTCTTATATTATTATTTCAAAACTTGTGCTAAGTATCAAATCCGTCCCAACTTGTCTATTACTTGCTTGTTTCAAAACAGCTCTTCTAAAATTGTTTAAAAGCTACAATGTTGAATTGTGCAACGAGTTTCGTGTTGAAGAAATTGGTATTGATGCAGAAAGTAGAGTCCCTCCAAGCATTTTCAATTTCCATTATCTCTTTCTATAAAAAAGTAAAACATCTTGGATAGATTTTTCCCTGCATGAGTTCTAAATTTTCTTTGTATGTGTGTACGCATGCGCACATTTGCGTCTAGCCGGCTGCGCATTGATATATTCTAGTCTATAGAAAATCACATAAATACACCAGATTTATCTCATTCTCAATATATATATATATATATATATATATATATATATATATATATATATATATATATATAGACACAGATACAAGTATTTGTATATTTTGAAAATTATATGTAAGTATATCCTAAAAAGTGCGACATAATGATAGAAAAGCGTGTATTTTGCGCAAAATATTAATGTTATATATATATATATATATATATATATATATATATATATATATATATGTGTGTGTGTGTCGCGTCTCTCTCTCTCTCTCTATATATATATATATATATATATATATATATATATATATGGAGGAAAAATTATGATAAAGTGGAAATTTTTCGTGTAACGCGTTTCGACCCTGAAGACTTCATTGGACTGGGGTTTTGTTTACGTTGAAGTCCGATGAAGCCTTAAGGGACAAAATTCCTTACACGAAAACTTTTTCAGCTCTGTCATACAGTTCTTTATATATATAAAATATCCCATCTATATATATATATATATATATATATATATATATATATATATATATATATATATACACAGAGAGAGAGAGAGAATTATTGGAATGTTTTCTTTTTTCAAATACGGTTAGCACATTATGGCTGAGTTCATAGTTGATAATATAGTTGATAACTGGTATATGTATATATATCGGGTGTAACAGCAAAATTATCAAAATCGTGAAACAGCAAAATTGTCCAAATGTTAGATTAAGCTCTGAACCGTTGTATCTTAGAAATGATTAAAGATATATTACTGGGATTCTGTGAGGTTTTCTATGACACTAATGGACTTTAGCATGAGCAATAACAATGTATAACTCTCTAAACATAAAGGTAGCGTAATGAAATAGACCATAAACGGAAATGACATGTTCGAAATTCATTACTCATAGCTAAGGATCGGAAGCTCATAAAGTATTGAAATAAAGTATATATATATATATATATATATATACACAACTTATTCAAGATGATCTTCATCCTCTCTAACTTTCTAACTTCCTGTCCTGGAGTAACAAAGTGTCTCACAGATTTCACTTAAGACTTCATTTTCAAGTTTTTTTCGTTGCTCTTTGGATTGTCATAGCTGAAATTACTCTCTCACGTGCCAAACGTCTTATGAATTGAGTTGGATCTTTTCTAATTGATCGCTTTAGCTCTAAATTTAAATGATGATCCCTCTTCCTCCTGATCTAGTTATCCTCTCTACTCTTTTTTAAACTTATTCACCGTTCTCTTGATGGTTCTTGAATGGACTTTGAAGATGGAAGTCAAAGCGTGAATTTTGGTACCATTAGTAAAGGCCTGAATGATCTTTTTTCCTCTCACCATTGCTCAGTTGAGAAGACAGTGGGTCTGACACAAAACAATTTTAACCTGCTCTCTTTTTAGCTGTATAACTGAAAGGGCTTTTCAGTGATTCTTACAAATAATGGTGTCATGATGGCTAAATGTCTTATCCAAAGGCCTGGAAAAAAGAAACTGAATTAGGTTGGTGTTTTTTTTTTTAGATATTAAACACTTTGTGGGGTGGATAATTATGCTGTTACACGTTTTGGACAATTTTGCTGTTATACCTAGTATATATATATTGTTGTGGCCTTGTTAGGACCAGAAATAAAGACACAAGAGAGGAAGAGTTAAACAAATATATTAACAGAAAAAGTAATACAAACATATACACACGAGAGTGTTACAGCAAGAATGTTCGGTTCGACTGTCAGAGCTGACTGCTGGAAACTTCCCTCTCCAAAAGTCAGTATCTGCTCCTATTTATAACTGGGACAGTCCATGCGTGCGTGGGTAAATTACTATAAACACATATATATATATATATATATATATATATATATATATATATATATATATATATATATATACTGAAGAAAAACGAGAATGTTCATGTGACCAACAGACAACTTGACAG